ACTCCCACGGGGCAGCGCCATACCTTGTTGCTTTGGTCCCAGGGCACAGAGAGCGGCACCTCGGTCTGTTTGCAGGAAACGACGTATTTTCTGGAGGAAAAGAGCAGTTTCCCTTATGGAAGGACACAAACCACATATGGGCTGCCCCTGCACCCCAGTGCCAATGCCCCCTCTCCTCCCTCCTCCATCCCCGTATCCCACTTGCTTTTTCTGCTCACCGGTCCAGCCGAATTTTTTTCCTAGCACTGGCTTCTCTGTACCTCCTCTCTCCATCCTGATAAACAAGGAAAGCAAACTAGATTAGTAGGAAAAAGAAGGGGAGGGGAAAAAACAACGCCCCCCCGCCAAAGAGATAACTTTTTGGGAATGAGCAAAACATTCAGCTCACCAGCTGCCACCCCGGCTACTCTGGCAGCAATGGTGAAGTATTAACCATGAGCTATTTTGGCATCGCTACCTGTGAGCCAGCAACAGGCACAAAAGACCCTCATTGCAACTGCAGAGCTGCAAACAGCCGCTGAAACAGAAACTGCATCCTCTAGTACATGCACATGTCCCCTCCCAGGGAAATAAAACCCCAAAAGAGCAGCTTGATTTGAAGGAAGTTCTAGCGTGGTGTTTTAAAGCAGGAGAGGAAGTTTTAGGGAGCCCATCTCCGGCCGTGAGATGCTCTCCTGTGGGATGGAATGAGAGTCCTAGTTTTAAGGCATCAAAAAATCAAGTAGGTGGGCATGGAACAGCTCAAGAGGAAGGTGAGACCATCGTTTTCTCGTGCTACAAAGTGCCCTGATATGCACGGGTTTTCACTTCGCTGCTGTGCTCATGGGATGGATTTTCTTAAGTATTTGTATCCAATTAAATTCGGGATTTGAATGCTTTCAAAGGTAAAAACAACCTAAGAGGTTTGTCTTGCCTTTAAATTATAGAAAAGATGAACTCAAACTTGTAGGCAATATCATGTTAAGGCTTGCATGGCTAATACTTCTCCATCTCTGCACAGGCAAGTGGTTTATTTTATTTTATTATTGGTTATACCAAGCAATCAATTTAGTTCACTTGCTATCGAGCAATTTCATTTCCATCATCATGAAACTGCATTTGTTTTGCTGTGAATCCAAGAGCTTTTCAGGGCTAAGTGGGATTCCCAGGAGTCCCATGCCCTGCCCATCCTTACCCCCGGCTCAGGTGCCACCATGGGCAGGGTGCGGGGCCGGCCCTCCGGGTCCAACACCTCAAAGGTCATGAAGGCGCTGTTGATGTGCCTGCGGCTGACGGACATCTCCTGGCCGTATGCCCCCACTTCCATGCTGGAGGGGGAAGAGGGGAGAAAAGAAGGGGTGAGGGTGAGGAGCACTGGGAGGGTGGGATGGAGACTCCCCTGCCACCGGCACCCACCTGTTTTTGAAGGCGTTGTTGACGATGGCTTTGAGCACCAGGCGGTCCCCGACTTGTGATGGTCCTCGAAAGTGGAACATCTCGATGGCCCGCAGCGTGGGGTGGGCATGGCACAGCCGGCTGTGGGGGGGCAGGCGTTAACCCCCAGCCACAGCCCCACGCCTCAGCAGCCCCGTGTACCCTCCCTGACCCAGCCAGAGCCAAGGAGACACCAAAAAATGTCAACTGCCCAAACCAGCCTTCAGAAGGAACAAGAAGTAGACTGTGGTGAGTGTGAACCCTTCCCTGGGGTTGTCCAGCACCGCCCACCTGTGGGACTCCCCATACACCTGAGGGCGATGTGCTGGAGACCATCCCTTTGGAGGGTTCCTGTAACCCGGCCACGGCCTGACGCTTCTCCAACTGTGTGTCCCCTTGAGGCACACCATCCCTCCCTCCCTCCAAATCCCTGTCAGGTCACCTGGCTGCGATGGTGGCCACATTCTCCATCCAGGCCATGATCTGCCCGCCAAAGGTGTTGCCCTGATGGTTGGCATGTGGGGGCAGCACCAGCTCCACACTCTCCACTCGTGTCTTCTCCGCAGGCACCGCCGCACTGCCGTCCCGTGTCTCCAGCTCTGCCACGGGGGGAGAATGGTGTTCACCTGGTGGGAACCCGCTGCCAGCACCCCAACAGCACTCAGCTCCTCTCCCCACAGCCACTCTCCCACTGCATCAACCCTCCCACACCTCCTGGCTTCAGGGTGCAGGATGGTGGCTCTGATCCCCCTCTCCATGGCCAGGGCATCCTCAGACCACTCTTCACAGCATCATAGAATGGCTCTAGTTGGAAGGGACCCTAAAGCTCATCTAGTTCCAACCCCCCTGCTGTGGGCAGGGACACCTCCCACGAGACCAGGTTGCTCAAAGCCTCATCCAGCCTCTCCTTGAACACTTCTATGGATGAGGCATCCATAACTTTTCTGGGCAGCCCGTTCCTGTGTTTCTTACTTCCCTCCTCAGCATCATACCAAGGAAGGAGGATGTCACCAGTGGGTTTTGGGGCTATTTTGAGGCTGGAAGCCTGGGATGCAGGACAGGGTACCAGTTTCACAGGGGCTGCGGGTGAGGAGGTCCTTGAGCGTATCCTTGTGGACCAGCCGCATGCGTCGGCGCTCGGCAGCGATGCTGTGCTCGATCTTCTCCTCCTCCGTCTGCGGGGTCAGCAGCTTCAGCTTCACCTGCAGAGAGGACACAAGCAGGGGGCTGTCCCGCTGGGCTCCTTCAGGTGCCAGCACATGATGCTACAGCACTGTACATCCCACCAGCACCTCCCACACATGGGGTAGAATATCACTGACCCCATTGTGCTCAGACAACCCGAAAGTCAGGCTCTGCCCAGCCTGTCTCTCTCCAGAGAGGACATTTCCCTGCTGCT